TTGTGGTTTTCAAGAAGTCGATGGACATTATATGAACAGATAAATTATCAAAGTATCAAAACAATTGCACTGGTGGTTTTCAAGAAGTCGATGGACAGTAAATGAACAGCTTTGCTCTGTCATCTGCAATGACAGTGGAGCTAAATAAAATCGTATTAAAACAAAAATCACAATATTTGTTATAATGAATCATTAAAATATTTCAGATTTTGACCATAGACATCTAATTTTTCTAAGTACATGCTACTACCGGTGATACAGAAAATATGGTAATGGTGAATCTATGATTTTTTTCATCATTTCTTCAGATACTATCTTATTCCAACACAGTGAAGATCTCCAATATACACCTGAAGAATTACTGGCTATGATATTAAACAGAGCTCAAGAAATGGCAGCAGCATTCGCTGGTAAGATTTTAAAATACTTTAACTTGTTTAATGCATCAAATTAACCAACTCACAAAATAGACGTACATGTATGCTTAAGTAATACAAGTCTCCATACATGATAAATTCTGTAATGGTACAAATCGTTCCATTTGATAAACACAAAACTGGAAATTACAAACTATAGAATGTGCAATGAAATGAGACGTTGGATAATGTGTACAGATGTGAAAAAAGGCAATGTGTTTACGTTTTTGTCTCATTTTGCTAAGAAAAACACATAAATTTGTCCATATTTTTTTTATTTGTGTTCTTTTGATGAAAAATTGAATTTTAAGGAAATTGGTGGAAATCATTAAATATACCAACATTGTGGTGGAAACGTTATACCATTCTAAAGATGAACTTAAATTTGTTTCTAATCATTTTTCATTTACTGGATATGTATTTTATGTTTTCATGTTTGTTTCTTTTCAGAACAACCCATCAAAGATGTTGTCATAACAGTACCTGCTTATTTCAACCAAGCCGAGAGAAGATCTGTTAAACATGCTGCTGAGTTAGTGGGGCTTAACGTACTGCAACTAATGAATGACAATGCAGCAGGTATTTTATTAATTTTATTAATATGCCATTCTCTTTGTAAACTGCATTTTTGAAACCCAAACTTTTAGATTGGGAGGCTTGAACATTAGGCACGTTAGACATTTTTAAAACTATTATCAAAATGCTAGGTGTGAGAAAATAAAGGAAATGAGTGGTCACACCATTCATTTGTCCCTCAAGTCTATACAGTCACATACTATCAACTAACTGACTTTAGGAGATTCCAATTTGACTCTGGATCCAAACAAAACCAGTCCTGTTAGAAGGCACCCTGACCATGACACAGCCCCTATCATACTGTAAAGTACTTTTAGCTGGAATTAATTTTCGGTGAAAAGCCTTTTTAGGATGTTTTGTATGGAATTTATTTTTACTGATTTTTGACAAGTTGAATGTAAAATATAGGAAAAAAAGTTTATTTGCTGGATTTTATTATTACAAACCATTCCTTCAGCAAAAATAGCGAAAATAAATATATACGCTACTAATAGAGCAAATATGATGTGTGAGAAATGTTTCAACAGTTTCACTATGCTTTTTTTTCGACAGTTGCGTTGAATTATGGCGTGTTTAGAAGAACTACGTTCAATGTTACTCCTACTAATATAATGTTCTATGATATGGGAGCGAGTAGTACCACGGCAACCATTGTTAGTTACCAGATAGTGAAGACCAAAGAAAAAGGCATCAGTGAGACAAATCCACAGCTCACAGTTAAAGGAATTGGGTAAATGGTCACAAATTTTGGCTAAACCTTTTCATCGTCAGTTCCTTCTTTTTATCCCAAATTCACAAAATAGTCCTGTTTATATATAGTCTGTAATATCCTTCGGAAGGTTGGGAGAAATATAGTTAAAAAAAATTGAGTAAAATTTTCTGCAAAATATAATGCTTCTTGTCATCATAGTGATATTGTTCTCAACTTTCTCAGATTTGACCGAACTCTGGGAGGATTTGAAGTTGAGTTGAGACTAAGAGAACACTTTGCTAAGGTGTTCACAGAGCAAGGCAAGGCAAAGAGCAATGTTTATGAATCACCGAGAGCAATGGCAAAATTATTAAAAGAAGCAAAGAGAATAAAAAAAGTGTTGAGTGCAAATACAGAACACATGGCACAGGTAAGACACATGTGATGATTCAGCAATTTCCTACACTGAAATGTGTTCGCTTATCAAGAAATCCGCTACAGTGTAACATGTATTAACCAATTAATTAAGTAAATTGTAATAATAATAAAGCAATTAATTAACACCAAATACATTGCAAGATAAAATCAAAGTAAACATACTCACTCAGCACTAGATTGTTTAGCAACTCATCATGAATCAAGTTCCCTGTAGCTCGGGGACTTGTTGCCGTATTGAGCCTCAGTTCGAGTCACACACAACTATAGAGGTCGAGCATACAGACAATGACAAGAAAAGTTAAAATGTTCCAATAAGAACCTGTTTATCAAGTTCTGTGTGAAATTTTTAATTTACTAGATCGAGAGAAAGTAGGAAAAAAATGAAAATTATGATTATTAGATTACATTTATTGTTTACTTTCAGATTGAAGGTTTAATAGATGATGTTGATTTCCGTGTCAAAATAACAAGGGAAGAAATGGAAACAATGTGTGCTGATTTGTTTGCTAGAGTCAAGAATCCTGTCAGAATGGCCATTGAATCAGCAGATATGACACTAGTAAGTATACAGGTTACAGGGCCTGATTGTATTAGAATGGCCATCGAGTCAGCAGTTATGACACTAGTAAGTATACAAATTACAGGGCCTGATTGTATTAGAATGGCCATTAATTCAGCAGATATGACCCTGGTAAGTATACAGATTACAGGGCCTGACTGTATTAGAATGGCCATAGATTCAGCAGATATGACCCTGGTAAGTATACAGGTTACAGGGCCTGATTGTATTAGAATGGCCATAGATTCAGCAGATATGACCCTGGTAAGTATACAGGTCACAGAGGCTAAATGTCTTAAATCAGCCTTAACTCAGCAGATGTGATCCAGAGAAGTACATGTATACAGTGTAAGGGCCTGCATCCTGTTAATCTGAATTGAATAGCTAATGCTGGACTACCATGAAGTTTTTATGTAATGTTGTTGATTTGATTTTTGACCATTGTTTTACAGGGTGAAATCGACCAGGTTATACTGATGGGTGGTGGAACTAGGATTCCAAAGGTGCAGGAACTACTTTTGGAAGCAGTGAAAAAGTAAGTGTCTTCTAAACAGTTTAGTTTGCAACCAAATGCAGTACAGCCTGAGCAGAACTGAATATTTACCCTTTCATTTTGAATTCTGTGCGTCCACCTGTATCTCAGACATGCCTAGTTCGATCACATTTGTACTTCACAAATACATCACGTTTTTTGGGCGACATACACATGTATGTCTATTCATTTCATGATCCAATTCAAAATGGTTGACTGGTAACCATGGTGACTATATAATGTGAATACTCATTTGTTTTTTTAGGAGTGAATTAGGAAAAAACATCAACGCTGATGAAGCAGCAGCTTTGGGAGCGTCATATCAAGCTGCCTACCTGAGTAAAGGTTTTAAAGTTAAAAAGTTTGTAGTCAAAGATGCCAATCTCTACCCAATAGAAGTAAGCCTATGTTTATATATCTCAATAAATAGTGTTAGTGCTATTAATTATTCAAATCAAAATATGTTACTGGCAAAATACAAAAATATGTTTAATATTAATCCTATGTTTCACCTCTTTGCATACGTGCACTCATGGCATGACTTTATTTTCAAAATCTTGATTGAAATTTGTCGAAAAATATTGAAAATTAGTTTATTTTGTGAGAGTTGACCATGGTTTTCATAGAATTGTTGTTGTTTTTTGCCTGTGTTCAATTCTGATATTGATTATTTTGTCTCAAGTGTCAGTAAAACAAGACATTATATGTAAAAGAGGTAATAAAGACAATGGGGTTGGGAAATAATGAACAGATCCTCGATGACATCTAATTAGGTGGCTTCAGCATGTAATTTTAGCCAGAGAAAAAAACTTCAGTTTCAACAAATGATTTTGTAATACCAGTAATCTTGTTGAGTGTGTAAGAATTTACTTTCTGGATTAAAATAACAATGGATAACAAAAGATAGATTAACTTTGTAAACAACATAAACAATAGTGTCCCATGATTCTTTGGTGCAATCCCTGTGCTTGGAAGTTTCCCCTTTAACTAAATCACCTTTGTTTGTCTATGCATAGCTAGGTACTATTTGCATCTCATCGTCTGTCTCTTTACTGTTGATATGGTAATGAAGAAGATGTGTATCATGGAGTAAGCTGAATTATGTTTTTTTGATTCTTTAGGTGGAGTTTGAAAGATCAGCTATTAATGATGAAGGAGTAGAATTTCAGAAAACTGTTAAAAGAACGTTATTTGGTAGAAATAATCCATATCCTCAGAAGAAAGTTATGACATTCAATAAACACACTGATGACTTTGCATTTAGTGTCAATTATGGAGATTTGTCATTTGTAAATGAAGATTATTTAAAGTAAGTATTGGTGGTGTTTTTTTTTTGTTTTGTTTGTTTGTTGTTGTTGTTTTTTTGTTTTGTTTCTTTTTTAGCTCCGCTGTCGACTTTGTCGAGCGGAGCTTATCATATGAGTGATTGTCCGTCGTCGTCCGTGTCAATGTTTTACTTTTTCGACTTCTTCTTGAAAACTACAAGCCTGAATGCTTTGATACTTGGTGTATATGTACCTTGGGTAGACCTCTCTTAGGTTTGTTCATTTCATGTTGATATCTTCAATTCTCTAATTTTGGTGAATATTTTTGTCATTTTTGGTAAAAAGTGATATTTTCGACTTCTTGTTAAAAACCGCAAGTGCAATTGCTTTGATATTACATATATAGGTACTACATGTGGACCTCTCTCAGATTTGTTCATTTTGTAATGATATCTTTAATTCTCTAATTTTGGTGAATATTTTTGTCATTTTTGGTAAAAAGTGATATTTTCGACTTCTTGTTAAAAACCGCAAGTCCAATTGCTTTGATACTACATATATAGGTACTACATGTGGACCTCTCTCAGATTTGTTCATTTCGTGATGATATCTTCAATTCTCTAATTTTGGTGAATATTTTTGTAATTTTTGGTAAAAAGT